TATTATCATCATAATTATTTTATATTTGTTTTAACCTATATTATATTATATAAAGGTTTATTGAAAGTGTAAATAAGGATCTTCGAGTAATACAATCAGAATTGTTTTTCTATTTCATTCATTTATTCATTAATTTATTCATTCATTCATTTATTAATTAATTATCCCAGATTTCCAGCATGGCGGCGATAGTAATAGAAAATAATGCAAGTACAAAAGTATGGATATATTTATTTACTGATTTTTCTTTTGTGATGATAATCGATACATAATAATAATGAAATTGATGTATTATTCTAAAAATCAAGAATTGGATGATGGTGGCATTAAATTGAAGTATAACATAATCATCAATCAATATCAAAATATTTTAGTTTTCACGCACAACATGACAATAATAAATTTTTTCTATTTTTGCAAATATTATAACCTTTTTTTTCTTGATTTTGATTAATTAAAAAACTCAAAAAAAAACAGAAAAGATTAAATTAAATGCAATCAATGCACCGATGATTATATTTAGCTGCATTTGTGGAGTAAAAAATTTTTCTTTTTTGAGATAAAAAAAACTCAATTCATTCTCATTTTCAAATTTTCTTATAATAATAAAAAATGGCGACAAGACAAGATAGAAGACAAGAAAAACATCCCTATAATAATACCAATAACAACAATGATAATAAATTACAAAACCTTCCATGGACCATTGGTAGTAGTGGAATAATAGAAGAAAGTAATACGACAACAGGTCCACTGTTATCAACAACAACAACAATACCTTACTCAAGACCTGTTTTAGAAGAACGTAAATTTTTTAGTACAATAATAGAAAATGTAATCGCTAATCTTACTCGACTAATGAAAGATAAAGATTTGGCCAGATTATTTGAAAATTGTTGGCCGAATACTTTAGGTAATTATTAGATTAAATGTTTAGTTGGTTTGGCTCTCATCCATCCATCCATCCATCCATCCGTTCACCCGTTCATTCCGTTTACCTATTTATAAATAGATACGACAGTCGCTTGGACAAAATTTGATGGAAATTATCCGAAGACATTTATCATCACTGGAGATATACCGTACATATATATATAATCATATCTTATATTAATTTTATAAATGTCTTTGAATTGTTTGTTTAATTCCTTGCTCGCGTGTTTATATAGAGCAATGTGGTTAAGAGATTCAACAAATCAAGTAATTTCTTATGTACCATTTGCAAATCAAGATAACGAGTTAAAACAATTGATCTTAGGATTGATCTATATGCAAGCTGAATTTATCGTCGAGGTCTATTATCATTATCACTGTTGTTATTATCACTATCATCTATTATATTATGTAGCCAGTTTTACTAACAAACACATACATGTATGTACGTATACAGGATCCATATTCTAATGCATTCAGAGCGCCAAACGAAACAAATATTCCGTACGAAGAAAATCCCTGGTCAAAAACCGACAAAGTGATACCCAAACCGTCAAATTCCACTTGGGAGTCAAAATGGGAGGTTGATTCGTTGGCATCATTTTTGAAATTATCTTTTAATTATTGGCAGAGCACGAAGGATGAAAGATTTTTAAAAATGGAAATTTGGAAAAAAGCTGTCACGACGATTTTGGAAACATTTGAAATACAACGGTTGGGCACTTTTGAAGAGTTAAATAATGAACATTATTTATTTACTAGAGAAACTAGAACTTCTACTGAAACCTTGTTGTTGTATGGCAAAGGTAGGTACTTATTATGAGTATAAAAAAATAAATAAAAATGTGTATTCTGAATTTAAGAATTTTGTTTTTCAGGGAATCCTGTAAGAAGAACAGGTAAAAACATTTTATAATATTTATGATGGTGATGATGATGATAATAATAATATATCTAAATATTATTTTTCAATAATTTTTTTCAAGGACTAATAAAATCACAATTTAGACCCTCAGATGATAGTACAACATTCCCATTTCTAATTCCTTCAAATGCAATGGCATCAGTAGAATTAGAACATCTATCCAAGATGTTGAACAAAACCTATCCAGATCTAGCTAAGAAAGCATTCGAGATGGCAATTGATATCAGGACAGCAATTGTTTCATTGTCGATAGTTCATCATCAAAAATTTCGTGAAATATTTGTTTATGAAATTGATGGATACGGATCGACAAACTTGATGGACGACGCGAATATTCCTAGTCTGTTGAGTTTACCATATCTCGGATTTCTAGATAAAAATGACCAGATTTATCAAAATACCAGACAATTTATTTTAAGTGATTGGAATAAATACTATTTTGAAAATTTTCAAGAAGGTCAACAACAACAAAAATATAAAGGTGTTGGTAGTCCTCATTCAGGACTAGGTTATATATGGCCGATGAGTTTATGCGTTAAGGTGAACAAGTAATTCTAATAGTAGTGTTGTTGTTGTTGTTATTGTTGTTGTTGTTGTTAATTCTTATTAATATTAAATATTAGATTTTAACGTCTACAGATGATCAAGAAATTCTCGACACGTTGGAATATTTAAAGTCTTCATCATCCAACACAGGACTTATACATGAATCATTTTGGTACAAGGATTCAAATAATTTTACAAGACCATGGTTTGCGTATGTACATCCATCCATCCATTTATTTATTTGCTAGAATGTGTCAAACAAATATTAATTTTTATATTCATATTCAAAATACCTACTCTTCAAAGTTTGTTTTTCTTTTTGTAGGGCTACATGCTGAAAATCCATGATTTTTGACTGCTTTTTTGAAAAGATAACTTTGTATTTGTAAGGAAGGATCTTTCAAGATAAAAGATGCTAATTGCAACTACTCGAAAGTTTTCAGTCCAAGACCTGTAAAGCATAAAATTCAATATGGAATGTTGCACGATTTTTTCATTCAAGTTGATGCAAAGTGAGCTCATATCGCTGCGCAATATTGTCACCTTTCGAAATGTTTTGAGATATATATAATAAATGAACTTTTTCAAAGTAAATCTTTTCTTTTGAATTGAAATTAAGAAAAATGAATTTAGGGATTGTTTGGATGGAAAATTACATTATAAGAATGTTCTACAAAAGGCTAAAGATTTCTTCAAGAAACCCTAACTTCTATCCAATTACACAAAGATGAGTGATGGTAAACTCTTTTTCAGTGTCTTTAAAAAATTTCAGAGCTCCAGCTTGCAAAAGGCATCCTGAAAGTTTCTTTGCATATCTGATTAGATCATTATCTGAATCAGATGTAAGATGTTTCCTGATACGACTGACCGCAATAATCTTTTGCTGTGAATGAACTCTGTGAAGCGATTATTCCAAGTGCTAAAGTTGAGAACAGGCTATTGATAGCATATACATAACATCATCAGGAAAACTAATACCAAATGCTTGTAAGTTTCTATATTAAATTATGTAAGAATTGTGCCGGCTTGTAAACTTATATAATTCTTACACAAGAGTTACAAGCGTTCTTACGTGAAATGTAAGTTATACACAAACCTACATCAAAAAAATTTCCTGACGCAAAGGAAAAAAGCAATGTTACAAACATTATATCAAACATAAACAATGCTGCTTCCTTGGTACTAATTACAATCAATGCATCATGTAATCTTTCCCACTTGTCTCTCTTTTCCTTCTGTTCTTCCTCTTCTTCAATCAAACCTTTCATTTCTCTTCATTTTCGTACTCCTTCTTTCTCAATTTCATCTCCAATTCGCTCAATCTCTCTAATTCTTTGACATACCTATTGTATTCTTTATTTGTCCGTTCCAACTTTCGTTCGATTTTTCGATGGTACTATATTTTTCATAAGCAAAAATGTAAAAGTTTTTTAACTAAAAAATTATTGATATCACCTGTGCGTCTGCATCCATATCTCAATGGTAACATTTTAATACCCAGGAAAAAAAGGTCGCTGAATATTTTTCCTTTTTTTTTCTGAATTGTAAACATGTATGATAAAATAAAATAAAATAAATATAATATAATAATATATTGTATAATATAACTAACTTCATCACTTCAGTACTTTAGAAAGGATCACAAATTGCATCTTTTAATTATAATTAATACAATTACACTGTGCAAACGTGTCATAGTATTTTGTATGCCAATAAGGTTTTTGTATGTTAATAATATTTAAATATTGTTTAATAAAAGACATTCTTGTATACCAATAGCATTTTTATATGTGAATAACATTTTTGCATGTTAATAACATTCATTAATTAACTGAAATTTATATACACACATACAACAAAGTTCTGCACCTCAATCTGGACGTCCAAAATTAATTGGTGAAGAAAAAGAACGAGTTATAAATAGAATTGTTAATAAGAAACCCCGTAGTACTTTAGCTGAAATACAACAAAACTTTGAAAAAAAAACTAATACCAAAGCATCACTGAAGACAATCCGTAGGTCCTTACATAATCTTGGTTTTTTTTCTCGTATTCCAGCACAAAAACCTTTATTAACTGATGTACAAATGGAGAACTGACTTAATTGGTGTTTGGAGAAGCAATCATGGTCTATTAGAAAGTGGGGAAATGTTATTTGGTCAGATGAATCTAGGTTTGCAGTTTTTAACAATGATGGTCCAAATCATGTCTGGAGAATGTTTTGAAAAACAAAATTTGGTACCAACTGTGAAACATAATGGTGGTAGTATTATGGTTTGGAGTTGCTTTTCAAATAGAGGATTAGGACCCTCGTTTTAGTAGATGGAACTATGGAGATGGGATTACATTGAAATAATGAGAATTTCATGGAAAAGGTTATCTTTTTCAAGATGACAATGTAGATGATGATTTAATAAAACTTATTTTGTATTGTAAAAGTCAATTTATAGTATCACACTTATGATCTAGTTGTTATAAAAAAGAATTTAATTTAGACAATATTTTAATAGAAATTATTTTGGGGTCTGGGACACTTTACTGACACCCACTTTACCAACAAGACACTTTACTGACAACACTCAGGGTTACATTTAATCTCTACACAATCAAACAAACTAATAAAATGCTAAAATATCACATCGCATGTTGTCGGTAAAGTGTCTTGTCAGTAAAGTGGGTGTTGGTAAAGTGTCCGGGTCCCATTTTGTTATATAAGTTAATTTATAGTATAATACTTACCAACTGGTTATTATAAAGAAGGAAAGAAAAAAACAAAAACATGTAATTAGATGATGTGTTGTAAAAGTTAATTTATAATATAATACTTACCCTCTAGTTATTTATTATATAAAGATATTTAATTAGATGATGGTTTAATAAAAATTATTTTGTGTTGTAAAATTTAATTTATAGTGTAATACTTACACCCTGGTTATCATAAAGAAAGAAAAGAAAAATGATGTTTAATAAAAATTATTTTGTGTTTTAAAAGTTAATTTATAGTATAATACTTACTCCCTGGTTATTATAATGAAAGAAAGAAAAAAGAAAGATATTTAATTAGATGATGTTTTAATAAAAATTATTTTGTGTTGTAAAAGTTAATTAATAAAATGATGCTTACTCCCTGGTTATTAGGAAATAAAAATAAATTAATTGGATGATGATAATTATTTTTGTTGTAAAAGTTAATTATAACATTTACCTTTATCAAATTTAGCTGAATATTATTTATTATAAAGCAAAAAATATTAGTTTACCTATTACTTACCATATATTTTTAAAAAGTTATTGTCTGTACAAGAAAAAATACCTTCATTCATGGAATTAAAGTATTTTTATAATATAGTAAGTAATAATTCTACAAATAATACCGTAAAGTCTTGAAAGATGGATCCTCTTTTTACATTCAATTTGAGCATAAGATTATCCAAAAAAGGTAACGAATTTATTACACAAAATATTAAAATATATATTAATATTAATATTTCTAAATGAAAAAATTTTATTAGCAAACATTTTTGAAATATCCTTATTGCCTTTTTTATACTCTATTTTTAGAAGGTGCTATCTTTCGGGGGGTGATATCTTTCCAGACGGTAACAAGTCATTTTTGACGTGATTATGCATTCAAACTAGTATAGTTTCCACAATTCTTAAAGATTGTCATGAATGTTTAGATACCAAAAAAAATTTATTTGTTATTGATTGCTAATGTTTACTGCTGACCAAGAAATGGTCGAGCTTCAACATCTTAAGAAACCTCTTTCGTAGTCATCACTAGTTAAAGGATAAATAATGCATCCTTTTGGTAACGCTGTTTGTACTTTCGATGAAATAAAATTATATCCATCTAATATACAAAGAAGAATTACTAATTTTCAAACGATGTTGGCTCTCAATTGAAAAACATTATATAGTGATGACGTACAATTGGAACATTTTTAATCATACAAATAAAAGCCAACCGCTTATTCTTTTTTACTTACTATTACGGATTATACTTTTTATGTTGGTGTAGGGCCCGGAGTATTCTAAATTTATTTTCACGTAAAATTGGCCAACTTTTAAATCAAGTATTTTTCCTATTAAAAACCATACTGCAGGTTGTTCCTTAGGTATTTTTTATTTTTTATCGAGACTGCATTTTTATGTCTTTAGATGATTGATTAAAATTCCTGCCGTGATTTAATTTCATAATTTTAAAACTTAACCCCAAGGTACTCCCACAAACTAATTATGACCTGGTAAAATGTATACGTGTAACTATCGTGGAGTTGCATTTTTAAGGGCTCTAAGAAAACTTCTTGGGTAAGTGTGTGTGTCACAAAAATTCTTATTTATTATTTATTTCGGGGAAAGAAAAAAATTTTATTTTAACATCTACATAGGAACAATAACATAACTTTAAAAAAAAATGACTACTCAAGAAGCTCCAACTTTTAAACTTGTCTTAGGTAAGTTATTATTATTTTATTTTTTCCGAAACTCTTTTTGATCGAGAAATGAAAAAATACTCATTAAATCTGAACCTTGATTTATGTAACATTGTGATTTGAAATCGATTTTCACTTTCAATGACTTGTCTGAATAGTTGGTGATGGAGGCACTGGAAAGACTACCTTTGTTAAACGTCATTTAACAGGAGAATTCGAGAAGAAATATGTGGGTAAGTAGTCGCAACCGTAAATCAATAATGATAATGTTTTAATGTTATTTTAATACTTGGTATTAATTATAAATTTTTTTTGTTAGCAACCCTTGGTGTTGAAGTTCATCCATTAGCTTTCCATACAAATTTTGGTCCAATTTGTTTTAATGCATGGGACACCGCCGGACAAGAAAAATTTGGAGGACTTAGAGATGGATATTATATTCAAGGCCAATGCGCAATTATTATGTTTGATGTAACTTCACGTATTACATACAAAAATGTTCCAAATTGGCATAGAGATCTAATTCGTGTGTGTGAAAACATTCCTATCGTCCTTTGTGGTAATAAAGTAGATATAAAGGTATAGAAAATTTTTTTTTAAAATTACAGAAATAATAATGAAGAGATTATACATAGTTAATAATATTCTTATTATATTTTTTCATAAAATTTTTTTAAAGGAACGTAAAGTAAAAGCTAAAACTATTACATTTCATCGTAAAAAGAATCTACAATACTATGATATTTCAGCCAAAAGCAATTATAATTTTGAAAAACCATTTTTATGGTTAGCCAGAAAACTTATTGGGTTTGTTATCATAATAATAATAATCATTATGATATTATCATAATATTTTCCTAAAAATTAAATATTACTGTTATTTTTTTTTTATAAATGAATAGAAATCCAAATTTAGAGTTTGTTGCTTCTCCAGCACTTGCACCACCAGAATTCGAACTTGATCCTGCTTTAGTTGAACAATACAATAAAGAATTACAAGTTGCTTCAGCCCAACCTCTTCCTGGTACGAGTTTTCTTTTTTTTACTTATTATAATTATTCTAATAATTCATCACATAATTAATTCTAATATATTTCAAAACAGAGGAAGACGATGATCTTTAAACAAATCATTAAGTATAAGATATATATATATAAATATGCATGTGAGATAGTAATTTATTTGTAAGTATTTTTTTTTAATCAAACAAATAAAATAAATAAATAAATAATAAATAGTACTTCTATTCATATAATTTTTTAAAAAAAAAAAAATACACATTAAAAGATATTATTAGAAAAAGAAATAATTTTATACTTTTAATAAAAACACTATTTTTTAGCATCATTTTATTATTGTTCAATTATCAAGTGACATTTGACTACATTATCTTTCTTTCAATATAGACAAATTTTATTGGAAAGAATCAAGTCATGAAACTATAAGTTTTTGTGACCTATTCCAATATTCACAATCAATTAATCTTTTAATGAAATCTCCTTTTCAAATTTTTCTAATTGTCTAATGAATCCTGAATTTGGTCTAACAATTTTATGTTTTTCCCTAACTAAATTCAAAGCTTTTTTTAATGAAAATCTACATGAATACATCAAATAAGCAATCACCACTGTTGTTGATCTACTAATACCAGCATAACAATGAACATAAACACGGCCATTTGATTCTTTTGCTTTCTCGATAAATTCAATACATTGATTAAAGTATTTTGATATATTTGATTTTGGATCATCTAAAATGTCGATTTTTAAATATTTAGGAGGATTGAAGTTTTGATATATTTTTTTTGTTGACAGTGATGATGATGGTGATGA